TTTTATTAGATGGTACCAATATAAAAAAAATTATTAATAAAGAAATTATTTACTTTTATTTTTCTTTTACTTTTTCTTTTTCTTAAATTTTTTCTTTTTTTTTTCTCCCCCCTCTTCTTCGTTCTTTCTTCCCCTCCTTTTTCGTCTTCTTCTTTTTCCCCTCAGACAACAATTTCCTAATTAAAGCCAGGCATCACAACTCAAATTTCTCTCCAATTTCTGCTGAATCAGCCTTTCAGCACCACCCAAGTTCAGCAAAGCTCGTTGCAAGAATCATCTGAGCCAGTTAGAAAATTGTTGGCCGAACAGATTCGTCCTATCGGGTGTAGTTGGGTATTCAGATCGCTTGTGAGATGACGTGGCTGGAGGTGCAGAGATAATCTTTTATCTACTTAACCTTTTTATTATTATTATTTGATTATTAATAATAAACAGATTTTATATATTGCCAACAGTTTACGCTGCGCTTTACAACAGAAGGGCAGACAGTACAATAGTTATTTCAGGTACTTATATAGCGCCGTCAATGTACTCAGCACTTTACATATATATTGTACATTTACATCAGTCCCCGCCCCCGAGGGGCGTACAGTCTAAGGTCCCTAACTCACATTCATACATACACATACTAGGGACAATGTAGACAGGAGCCAATTCACCTACCAGCATGTCTTTGGAGTGTCAGAGAAAACCAGAGTACCCGGTGGAAACACGCAGGCACAGGAAGAACATGCAAACTCCAGGCAGGCACAGGGAGAACATGCAAACTCCAGGCAGGTGGTGCCGTGGTTGGGATTTGGACCAATGACCCTAGTACTGCCAGGAGGAAGTGCTAACCACTTAGCCACTGTGCTGCCCACAAATGAATCCAGGAGGATTCAGAGGGCCCTGTTCGTTAGAGCTCACAGTCGAAGGATTTTTATTTCTGGCTCCAGTGTTGTCCTTAAAGCCGAGTTCCACCTGGAAAAATAAAAGTCAGCAGCTACAAAAGCTAAAATACAGAGACTTACCTGTCCCTCGCTCCAGCGGTGTCCTCACCACGGCTGGTTTCACCGGCCGTCTTCTCTCCCTGGCGCCGGCATCTTCAATGTGGGCACCCGGCTGTCACAGCTTGCGGCTTCCCAGCTGGGTGCCCACTGTGCATGCGCTTTGTGAATGGCCCCGTAGTCTTCTGGGACCGGTCACGTGTCCCAGAAGACTACGGGGAGGAAGGACAACTTCTGCTTCCGATCGCCTAGGTCAGGGGTGGGCCATGTGCGGCTCTCCAGCTATTGTGAAACTACATTTCCCATGAGGCATTCCAAAGAACGGACATTGCAAAACTGACAGAGGCATGATGAAACTTGTAGTTCTGCAACAGCTGGAGAGCTGCACATTGCCCACCCCTGACCTAGGTCACAGATGTCAAACTGGCGGCCCTCCAGCTGTTGCCAAACTACAAGTCCCATGAGGCATTGCATGACTGACAGTTACAAGCATGACTCCCAAAGGCAGAGGCATGATGGGACTTGTAGTTTTGCGACAGCTGGAGGGCCGCCAGTTTGACACCCCTGGCCTAGGTGATCACAGTGGTACCAATCCTTCATGGGGAGCGGGGGATAAAGGCTTGAAGTGGAACTTCCCCTTTTGGGCGGAGCTCTGCTTTAAGCTGGGTGGTCCCTAGTGTACAGTCAGGGCTGGTAACTTTGTATTGCACTTGAGGAAAGTAGTCAACAACTGCAGCCCAAAGCAGCTGAGAGAGGATGCTGCGAGGTGCTGGTCACACGGGTTGAGGGGCCCCGCTGACCACAGATCACTGGTGCCACGCTGGTCTCCTGCAGACCTGCCAGTATATCTTTTCCATACGGCCAATCCGATACACTGATGAGAGGAATCGAACTACCACAGCTCTCCACAGCACCGTAGTAGTTATTTGAAAACTACAAACTGACAGCCTCTAAGGCCGTCTGAACTTGTAGTTCCTTCATTCACAGAACTCTGGGAATGAATGATGCGGCTGTGTGGGCAGAGCCCCTTGGGGCTGCATTGTTCTAAAAGAAAAAAAGTAGACATCTAGTATGGGGATCTTCTCCCTCTACTGCTGTCACGGGGGGGGGGGCAGCTGCGGCTCCTGCATTGGGGACATGTTACATTTTCCTAAAGAAACGTCTCCTTTTATATAACTGTGGAGACACCAATATGAAGCTGCAGGCCCAGGAAATGCACGGCTGCTTTACAGGAGGAAGTCGAGAACCAAGCGTACTTTTTTTAGGGGTTTCTTTCAGGTTTTTCTTTCCAGATGTTTCCTTTATTACACAATAAAGGGAAAAAACACAAAGTTTTGTATAGAGTGGCGAGCGGGTATAATTCCTGTGAAGTTTTTCATCGCAGTCTGTGTCAATGGGGTGAGACTTGCACTCTTCAGTTTGACAACTTGACATGGGGAACCCCCCCCCCCCCCCCCCACAGTGAGAACTGTGTAAGAAGTTAATTTTCTTCTTTCTAGAGAACTTCTCGCATCCTGTTGTGTCTACAAGACAAAAAGGAAGGAAATGTTACAATGGGACGTACTTTCCAGCAGATCTAAACACAAGAACGAAAAATTGGTAGTATTGCAGCTCACCTAGTCCCTGGATTTGCTGGCCCTCGTGGTTTTTTTTTTTCTTCTATTTTAACCTGGTGATTCTGTTATTATCTCACTTCCTGTCCTAGGGTGACAACCGTACTAATCAGCGTCATCACCGTGCGGACCTGAGAACTCATGAGGCCCCCGGGCAATAGGGGATCATGGGGCCCCTGGGTCCTTGCCCACACTCAAAAAAGGTACTAGGGGCATTTCATGGGGCCCCCTACTGACTGCCCGACTGCTTGATGGTCAGTCCGCCCTGGCCCCGTCATCACCCCTAGGCAGTCCGGGTCCTTCACCCAGGGAGTGTTAGGACTACATAACACCTCCCTCTCTTCTGCAGTGTTTTGTAGGGCCCAATGCTAAGTGATATCCACCTGTCCTGGACTCTTGTCCTGGAAAACTTGTTTTTTTTTTTTTTTTTTTTTGGGGGGGGGGCTATATATATATATATATATATATATATATATATATTTATATGTATGTATTTAGGGGTAGATATAAAGATAGATACAGAGATAGAATTTGTTTTTTTTTTGTGCTAAAAAGTTTGCACACCCTGGCAGAAATTGAGATTTTGGTATTGAAAATATGACTGATCGTATGCTCTTTTATTGAAGGATGATGATCATATGAAGCCATTTATTATCAAATGGTTTTTGGCTCCTTTTTAAATCATAATGATAACAAAAATCACCCAAAATCAGAAGTCTCTGGCCCCAAAGTTCTCTGGCCCGGATCAGAAGTCTCTGGCCAGGATTCAGAAGTCTCTGGCCCGGATCAGAAGTCTCTGGCCCGGATCAGAAGTCTCTGGCCCGGATCAGAAGTCTCTGGCCCGGATCAGAAGTCTCTGGCCCGGATCAGAAGTCTCTGGCCCGGATCAGAAGTCTCTGGCCCGGATCAGAAGTCTCTGGGCCCGGATCAGAAGTCTCTGGCCCGGATCAGAAGTCCTCTGGCCCGGATCAGGAAGTCTCTGGCCCGGATCAGAAGTCTCTGGCCCGGATCAGAAGTCTCTGGCCCGGATCAGAAGTCTCTGGCCGGATCGGAATGGCCAGAAGTCTCTGGCCCGGATCAGAAGTCTCTGGCCCGGAAGTCTCTGGCCCGGATCAGAAGTCTCTGGCCCGGATCAGAAGTCTCTGGCCCGGCCCGGATGGCCCGGATCAGAAGTCTCTGGCCCGGATCAGAAGTCTCTGGCCCGGATCAGAAGTCTCTGGCCCGGATCAGAAGTCTCTGGCCCGGATCAGAAGTCTCTGGCCCGGATCAGAAGTCTCTGGCCCGGATCAGAAGTCTCTGGCCCGGATCAGAAGTCTCTGGCCCGGATCAGAAGTCTCTGGCCCGGAAGTCTCTGGCCCGGATCAGAAGTCTCTGGCCCGGATCAGAAGTCTCTGGCCCGGATCAGAAGTCTCTGGCCCGGATCAGAAGTCTCTGGCCCGGATCAGAAGTCTCTGGCCCGGATCAGAAGTCTCTGGCCCGGATCAGAAGTCTCTGGCCCGGATCAGAAGTCTCTGGCCCGGATCAGAAGTCTCTCTGGCCCGGATCAGAAGTCTCTGGCCCGGATCAGAAGTCTCTGGCCCGGATCAGAAGTCTCTGGCCCGGATCAGAAGTCTCTGGCCCGGATCAGAAGTCTCTGGCCCGGATCAGAAGTCTCTGGCCCGGATCAGAAGTCTCCTCTCAGAAGTCTCTGCCCGGATCAGAAGTCTCTGGCCCGGATCAGAAGTCTCTGGCCCGGATCAGAAGTCTCTCAGAAGTCTCTGGCCGGATCAGAAGTCTCTGGCCCGGATCAGAAGTCTCTGGCCCGGATCAGAAGTCGGATCAGAAGTCCTCTGGCCCGGATCAGAAGTCTCTGGCCCGGATCAGAAGTCTCTGGCCCGGATCAGAAGTCTCTGGCCCGGATCAGAAGTCTCTGGCCCGGATCAGAAGTCTCTGGCCCCGATAATGTCTCTGGCCCTTCAGAAGTACAGACACAAACACGTACGGGGTACAATGCCAATTAGAGGTTCATGTCCCACATCTGTGGCTTTTTACATTGCAATCAGTGTCTGTGTATAAATAGTCAATGAGTTTGTTAGTTCTTACATGGAAGCACTGACTAGGCTTGATACTGAGACATGGGGATCAGAAAAGAACTGTCAAAAGTCCTGCGTAACAAGGTAATGGAACTTTCTAAAGATGGAAAAGGACATAAGAGGTCTATATATGTATATATATTTTCAGACTAGGTTCACACTTGTGCGTTGCCAGACACCACATGTAATTCACACCGCATTCCTTTGCACATCACATGCGATTGCAGTGCAATTTGAGCCATACATTTTGATGTCCACCTTGAGCGCTGAAAGGTCCGGTTGTCGAATTGCTATAGGCTAGGTGAGAGCCGGCTAAAGTAGTTCTCAAGCTAATTTTTTTTTTTTTTTTTTTTTCCTCAGTGCATTTTCCCTGCAACCCCCCACTGGGAGAGCAGTGCTGGGGAGGGGTGGCCACGTCTGGACTCTAAGTTATGACCAGAAAGGTGGAGCGAACAGTCAGTCAGGGAGCAGGATCAGAGCCCAACAATATTGTGGTCACAGGAGAGCGAAAGTGACCCACAACAGAAATTTGGGCAAAATCCTTTGGCCATACTACTTTTTTAAACCTAACAAAAGTAATTGGCATCAACCCTTTGGAATCAGACTTTGGTTTTGACTCTTGGACTAGAATTAGACGTGCTTTTTAGAGGCGATTGCAGGCCACCCATTTTTTTGAAGGCGATGCAGTTGCTGGGCATTTTTGGGTTGTCCCCCCCCCCCCCCTTTTGCCGCAAAACACCCTTTGGTATTCTACCCTTTCAGCTTGGGGAAGGGGGGGGGGAGCAGTTGGGTGGGCGCTAAAAACTCGTCTCACCTGTGTGTTTGACACCCGCAACAACCACACTTCTAAGCTTCGCTTTAATTCAACAGAATAAATACAATAAACAACAGAAAAAAGATATGGCCAAAAATGAACCTAACCAGGTAATTGCTGCAAACAAGTGATTTCTACGAACATGTGGTTTGGCCCCAAGGGTCTCAAAACTTTCAAAACAATGGGCGCTGAAAATTGACCTGGACAGGAAGGGGGGGGGGGGGGGGGGGGGGGGATGGAGTGTCCGGACTGGAAGTGGTTAATTTATACACTTGTGTTATTTTTGCTTTTTCCCAATGGGAATACAATATGGGGCCCCCCGGCACCCCTTACTGTATTCTTGAGGATTCCGCCTCTGACACTGGTGTGCCTAATTGGTCTTGGGTTGTTCATGACCTTCCCTGGTTGTTTGGTGAAATCAATCATTTTAACGAGCAGCTGTGTGCCTGGAAGTCTCCAATATGGCGACATCCAGTAATTTGCTCTGACCCATTTTATATGTACAACCAGTATTCCCTAACAGCCAAAGGAAACCGTAATGCGGGGCTCGACAAATTTGCTTTCAATCCAGGAGCCAGCAAAAGTTGGGAGCCTAGTTTTTTTTTTTTTTTTTTTTTTTTTTTTAACCAACAAAGCTTTTTTATTATTATACAGGACTTGTATGGCGCCAACAGTTTGCTCAGCGCTTTACATTATGGAGGGAGACAATACAGTAACAATACAGTTCAATACAAGAGGCATTTGAGGGCCCTGATCCTGGGAGCTTACAATCTAGCTTTATTTTCTGTTCATAGTATAAAATGGCAGAATAAAAGCTATAAATTATACTTACCCTGCTGGTCCCATGAGGCAGGCGATTATAAATATTTTTATGGCTTTTATTTAAAAATCGGACAGCGGTCTCAGTTACTATACCTAGTGAGAAAGCGGTCTCATTCCATAGGATGTCGCATATTACCGCTAAGGTCTAGGAAACGCACAATTTCAGTAAACACACTAAAGTTAAATTAGGGCATAAAACAATAAATGACCCATTTTGGTAATATAGAAAAAGATGAGTTTGCACAGAATAGGTGCCCAACATGTCAAACCGTACAATTGTGTGCGC